TTAAAAATGACATGATTTCAGAGAGTTTGAGAACCACTAACTTAAGCACTTTACTATGTAAATGTAACAGAGGAAAGGGAAGAATATTTCTCCCTCTGCAGATGGCTACAATCAATGCTTTTATGCCATTTAAAAAACAATTTCATAGCTTGAGAGAGATCAGAATCAATGAACAGGCAGCTACTGCCAGTTTTGAAATCAGCATGCCCAACCTTGACACCTGACATGAAGGTTTTAATTAATTAAATAATTCTAATTAATTATTTTGGCTGAGGTCCACTTCATCAATATGTAGATTAGGGATAGAACCAGGCATCATTTCACAAAATTTCCCCAAAAGGAAACCCGCCATTCATTTACAAAATTCACTACGTGAAAAAGTATAGCACAAAGTCGTCTTTACCAGAAACTGTCTTTGGTACTGAGGACAGGGAGAACAAATGTAAAATTACTCTAAATAAATGGGATTTATTTAATACAGAAAAAATTATAAAAAAAAAAAGGAATTTGCTAAAAACTAGTGGGCTTCAACAGTAATTGCTGTCTGTTTACATAATTTGATCCAAACTCTACTTCTGATAATTAATCTGAAAAAGAACAGAAGTGCAACTATCAACAAAATGAAAAGGCAGAAAAAAAGGAAAAGTAAATATGGTACTGCATAGTAACAGTGTAGCATGGCTTTCTGACTTGTGACGTTCTGAAAGTTGGTACAATACACTCACATACATTACACTAAAACATGATTTCATTTTTCCCTTCACTGTCAGCTTCAGGGTTATTAGCAATATTAAAAAACCTTACAAAATCTAAACCATGATTTTAACCAAGCATCATTCCAATATAAGAATTATTTCTACTCGTACGTTATTTCATTTTTAAGTGAAACTGCTACAAAATGTATTTATCACAGTTTATGTATTACCTGATAGATATACATCAAGTAGGTTGAGCACCTGTCATGTCACTTTGAGAGTGAGTTTAATATAAGCTCAACAATTCTTCCCTTCCTCAAAAGCCTGTTTTGGGAAAACAAATCCTGTCATAAATTCATTTCAATGTATTCAAAAAATAAAATACAAAAAGAGAGCCTGGCATGAATATTGAAACCAGATCTGAGACAACACTGTTTTGCCTTATTTCCTAATTAACGATTATTTTAATATAATACTGTTCCACGTCATGATTAACCAGTATGAAGATAAGAATAGTATGTTTTATTGGGTTGTAATGTTGCATGATTTGGAGACAAGCCAACATTCTGAAGAAGCATATTGGCTCCATCTTATAGGTCAAAGATTAACTCAAGCAAGAAATCACCTGCCTGACACTTGCCACCTGGCTCTTGTTGGTTTCTTGCTTAGTGTACTCTTTAACCCAGAAGATGAAGGTGATATATTCCTTCAAAATGCTGGTGATTATCCAAACTGCACACCCTTATAACCCTATGTACTATACACACTCTTCACAGTCATTGCTGTGAGCACGTCACATCCAGTACAGCACAAAGATAATTTATAAACTAAATTACTCCTCACATTTTTACAATGGCCCTCCAAAGTACATGGCATGGAAACACAAAGTACATGCAGTGAAAAGGGAACCCCCAAATGATGGAAATTTGGGGTGACACAATAGTAAAACTAGCATGGTTAGAGACGGAGGTGTTAAAGCACAACATAACTTAAAAATGGGCATGTTGACTATAGAATGGTGATTTTCAGTATTCAAAGGGGTGACATGACATGAGCTTATCAGTACAAATTTCAATACTAACATTATATAAGAATTTGAAAGAAGTACATAAATGAAAGTTACCAGCATGCCATTTACAATTGTGGGTATTTAAAACCAATATAAACGTTCTACAATGTTAATCATCTACCACATATTTCATTACATGATTTTAAACTGCTATCCCCAGTCTGAGTCGCAATGACTGACAGCAATAATTCCATACCAGGAAACTAAATTTAAACCAAACTGTAAATATTTAAAACTAATATAAGGTGCACGAATGGAATATTATATACTACTGTATATAACATCCTATTCACTCCTGGGTGTTATAGCCATGACGTGAATCCAATGTAAGAATTATGAGTGAGAAGCTGTATGGGTAGTTCATTTTCATGAAATTGTTCAGTTTGTTTTCTATGTTAGCTCTGACAATTTTTTTTGTAGGAAAATGAACTTGTAAGAATACTCTCCTCTGAAATCCACTGTCCACTACATACAGCACATAATCTAAACAATTATTAAAAGGTACAAAAAGATACCATACCTATATTAAGTACAATATTTAAAGCTTAAAGGTACATAATTATAAGGATAGGAATGAAACATCAAGCATCCCTAGTACAGGGACCAGATGCAAATAGTTAAAACTATTACTGAAAGTGACTGGCAAGGGAGCAAAATAGTGTAAAGAGTTCAGAACAAACACACTATCAACAATCCCACTTAAAATAAAAAGATAAATGGTAAATATGAAGTAAATAACCATAACAGAAATACAATTAATGGCAATAATACAGAGGAACTAATTGAAAATAGGAGGGAGATGTACTGTGATCTTTTGTACAGTACTATGGTAGAAATATGTTTCTGTGTAATTACCATACACATAAGTTATGGTGGCTGCTGTACACAGGTATGCCTAAAGATTTATACTCAATCTCTTTATAAAATAGCTGACCAGCAGCACAAGTACATTATACTACTTTTGATCACTGTATATCGGTCTTCATGAATTCTTTCAGTCTTTTTCAATGGCATGAACATTATTAAAGGTCTTACACAAAGAATGCAAAGTTAAGTATACTGAAGACTAGACTGGATTCAGTGTTGGAAGTTCAAAAGACATCAGACCACAGGCATTCACTACAATTTCATCATGACTCTTTGTTCATTGATGCTGTACAGGCATAACAAACTTTTTATGCTCAACAGCCATTTGCTTACCCAAACTATAGTTCTAGGGCGAAAACTATAAATTTAGTACAGCAAAACCAACATACTGATTAATGTTAAATTTCAATGGGAAGAACTAACATATTTGTTCATGGTAACTTATATGACCATTGGCATGGGCTGTTCAATGGCAAGAGAGCTATGGTGTTGAGTTATGCAGTAGCTATGGCTGTATCACCATCAAGCAGTGCCATGCTCACCTGGCACAGCTCAGGGTTCAGGCCTCACCAAACCACCAGCACACTGGTGATTTGTGCATAAACTAATTTCCATTACAGAATTCTACTTACTGGGATTCAATTTCCAGCATATTTAATCAGCCAGAATGTGAAGATGGGGCATCCCTTCCATCTTGAGCTATCTGTGAGAGGCCTGATTACATATTTTAGTGGACAAAGAACGAATCATGTGTAGTCATCATGAATTTGTAATATGTGACATGTTTTATATCCAGCCCTACGGGGAGATGACTGCATCCATGAAGTGAAAATAAATGTAAAAGTAAATGTAAATCTACTGATCAGATTAACTGTGTGGATCTTTCCTTCAATTTCATTTGCTTGCTGTTATTCTGCTATGATGAAAATCCAGAGTCTAAGAATCTAGCAATCAATGAGTACTATGGCACAGTGAAGCTGGGTAGCATCGAGATCTGTTATGTGATGTTAAAGTGGACATGGTGTGTGTAAAATTTGAGGCAGCCAAGGTAGAAAGATTGAAATTAATACTCTTATTTAATATTTTGCAATCACATCACTTTTATGCCAGATGCCATCATCTATTATTTTGCAACATTTTTCTTTCCTTGGTTTTCAAGATCTCAATGTAAGCAGATCTGCATGTCTTCCAAAAAAATGACTAGATGAGGCCATGTTAGAAAGAGGAGACATTAAGAACAACATACTCATACAATCAAATAAATATATATCAGCAGCTTACTGCTGCAATACCAGACTACATTTGAAAAGACTGTAGTAAGACTGTAATGACCAACGCTTAGGTCACTTCAATGTACTCTAGGTTACTGAACTATGGTCTCACACACTTGATACACTTCTATACATGAAGCACAAGAATAGCATTTCACATGAAATAATAAAAAAATATCTGTATAATTATAAAAGAATCCAATATATTTCTGTGTGTCCAACAGTGGCACTGGGTGGATTCCACTGCTCGAAGAATTAGACTGACATTTACACTGACTTGTTGCAGTGTTTACCTTCTTGTCAAAGCTTGTATTTATTAATATTAAAATATGAGGTAAAGTTGTCACTGTGCTCAAGTACCACACCATAAACATGATTGAAATAAAGGTAAAGCTCCACACATTCTAAACCTCAGCACTATATGAGGGTGAGTGTGATCAGGTTTATTTCTAGTGAATGGTGACCTACACTCATCACAGATTCTGTTACATCTCATTAGCAGTGCAGATGGCCATTCACAGGAAGCAAATTTGACAATACACACCATGAACATAAACTCCACCGAGACCAACGAGTTATCAGCTTCACACTCTAACTGTGATATGCCTAAAATGAAGCCCCCAAGTTCATTAATTTCACTGCCATACCATAAACCTGTATCTGTCTTGAAGTTTTCTCTTTAACCTTCAATTACCTTGTTACTTTCTTCACTCAAATCCTCAGGATCACCTGTGAAGAAAGACTTGAATATCTATTTCTGCGATAGTTTGTGCATTTATGAACTTAGAGCATTTAAGTCTTATAACATAACTTAACATAATGAGCTGGAATCCAAAACTTATTTTCTGAATTCCATACCAAAACTCTGAGGTGGTTCCCAAAACATCTCACAGTGATCAAAATGGTCATAGAAGATACATCCATTCACATTTTCTAATCCATTTGTCTGTATGGCTATTCTTATACCTCAGTTCTGTAATGATTAGTATGCTGGACCTGTAGTGAATGCCCAGTGTTCTTGTATATTTAGTCTTGTTATACTTAATCTTAAAAAAAATAAATAAAATAAAGATCACAAAATATATTTGACTGGTGACCTTTAGTTCATTCTCATTCACAAATGAAAAACACAGATCAAAGTAACTTAAAAAAATAACAAAAAAAATTGCAGTTGCAAATTAACTAAGCAGCAGTATAAGGAATATTTTTATAACTGATTTAACAAGTATTCATGAAAAGATGACAGCACAGGCAAACCCCAGGATATTTTGGCTAAACAAGTTATCTTTTTATATGGGTCATGGAAAACCATGCTGACCTAGCTCCAGCAGCTGCCTGCAGAATAAAGTACCCAAATATTCCAGCCTGTCCTTGAATGAACATTTGCAACAAAACAAAATCAAGACTATATACACTTCTTTTGTGATTCCAACACTAAATCTGCTTTATTGCAAGTAAAGAAAATACTGGTTTCTGGCAATGTTTGGCAACATTCATGGCACATCATCAGATTCAATATTAAGAGTTTAATTTGTTTTACAATTATGTTTCTCATACACATGTTTGATATAAATTAAAAGACAAAGGGGTAATTTAGCTATCATGAGAATTTTCACCATATGTTTTTCTAAGACGTAGGAGCATTGGATAATGAATATTCTCATCATAATCACAATTCTGTTTCAATTTTAAATGCCTATTCCAAACATGTTCATTGTAATACTGCTTACTCTTACAATGAAACCCTCTCATTTTAGCTTCTTCTGCAAATTTCTCATACGTTCGTCCCCTTCGTGGTGCCATAACAAGTGCAGTTCCACCCTCATTCAACAATGCCCAAATAGTTTCAATAAGATCCTGACGAGCTTCATCAAAAAATAGGCAGTCAGCAGATAAGATAATATCATACGCTGAAATATGCTTATCAATTGGTCTGTTCTGAATATCCCCCCACTGCAAGACAGAGCATGTCATGCGATTCTCTAAACCATTATGCTTTACAATGAACTGTACATTATCAATGGCAGATATGTTTCCATCAGTGACATGGATGTTGGCTGCTGCTGTGTACTTGGCCACCATGAGCCCAGCAAGGCATGTCATTCCACCCCCCAGCTCCAGAACTGTTTTACCAGAAAAATATTTTAGGTTGCATAGAATGTAGTAAGCCAGTACTTCTTCTGATGGCCAAACACAAATATTCCCTGTATTGTTGAATCCCATAAGCTCAGCTGCAGTGAAACTCCGTGTAGGATGTCGAATATTCAAAGAATATGTATCCTGTGATATGGTTGCAGAGTATTCAAACCAGGATGCAGCAGTATCTCTGGAGCTGTTGTTTAGAGTTAAAGGTTTGGATGTTACAAGATTAAATGTTGTGAAACGTCGTACTGATATGATGTCATCAACATTCATTGGAGTAGTATCAATGTCACTCGTTTTTTGCAACGCTCGAGCCAAGATCTTCCAGCGGCGTCGAGCAACTTCATTTCTATTCTTGTGATGTTGCAGATATACCTGCTGCTGTTGTGAGCCATTATATACTGCAGACATTGCTCAATACTGAAGTCTCTCACTGTACCAAAACTAGTGCCCATTTTCTAGATGAAGTTTATACATTTTTGTACTGATGAGAGAGGATGGTTACTTTTAGCCTGGAAGGAGAAAAACCTGTAGTTACTCCTTCTTTATCAGTCATCAACCATTCTGTTCAAGAGGCAACAGAATTATCATGCTTAAATTGCAACCAGCAGGCTTATACATGGACACACAAGGGAACACAGAGGCAGTATTTTCCTTCGTCCAAGATTATATGATATGGAGGGGGGGGAACACAATACATTTTTATGCAAGACAAAATTACCAAGAGTAGAACTGCAAAAAGAAATGCCTTACAATTCTTTTGTGTGTAAGGTCTAATATCCTCTCAAATGCATTCATATAGAAAATGTTTAACATATACTTTTTAATGTTTATAAAATTAAGATATGTCACACAGAATAGCACATATTTTCCTTCATATTTGAGTGTTATTAAATCAGGGTGGAACAGTAAACATGTCTGGTCACATGCTACTTTAACATTCACGAGACTCTTGAGTTCACATTTCAATGGCCTCTAATTCATGCTATGTTAATTTACACCATGTAGTTAAAGTATAATATGATTAATTACAGTTTTAAACATGACAAACATACAATGATACAATGCAAGTTGTAACTGTAGCTTTAACATTTTGAAGAGACTCATCCTGTTTACATGCACAGTGCATTCTTATGTGAGTTGTAAGAAATACAAAGATGATCAAATATAAAAAAGACCACCAATATATCACAAAACTAGTACCTAATACTGTACTTATAATATATAGTTAAGACACGTTTACTATTTGTAAGTAGTGGTTTTATATCCAAGAGTGTTTTTCATAAATTTCTGATCAACGAAAATGTGGTGCATGCCTGCATAATTTCACGGGAACATAAAAATTGCAGTCACTTAATACGAAGAACACTTATAGTTCCTAAAGGCCCATTCCACTTTGTTCAAATGAAGTTTCTGATATATGGAACCATACTAACTTTAGGGCACATACATATCTCACTACTGTACTTCTGACTAACCATTCATAATATCTTATGCTGGCCTCACAGTGTATACAGAATTCTGAAATATCAAATACCAGAGTAATTTTTCCAGTAACAATGTCCCAGTAAAAATACTTCCTCTTTACAGTTATGCTATTTTACAAGTATTATGTTTTTCGACATTATCCATCGTCCTGTTTATTTCTCAAAACACAATGTTTCGGAGACTGGATTCTGTCCCCATCCTCAGGTAAAACCTACTCAGTTGTGTTGTGTTTTGAGAAATAAAACAGGACAGTTTTTAGAAAATAGACAGGACAATAGATAATGAACATAAACATAATACTTGTAGCAATGTACCATCGTCACAAACTTTCAGAGCTTAGTTGTGCTATTTTGTTTGAGACAGTGCCCACAGGAAAAGCAAAAAGTATCAACAGGGATATATAGTAATTTTCGGAAATCCCTGCCATACCAGTCACTTTCCTTTGTTGCATTCTGCAGATAAGAAGCAAAATATATGTTGGAAAACAAAACATACCCTCTTTTCCCAAAACAAGGCCTTTAAAAGAAATCATTTTCTTTAACCTTTTCTCTTTGATGCATATTTGGTGAGATAGTGAGCCTGTTGTACTGATAGTGAATTCTGTAAGTTTGAAAGTACTAATACTTTTTCTGCAACATATTCACTAGATACGTAAAATCTCTACATAAAACCTCCCTTTTACTTCATGCTGTTCAGGATACATGGAACAAGCTATTTTGGAATTTAAACTGAACTTGTGGAAATAGTGTCTACATTATTTTCCTTGTAAGATTTGAGGCTTTCACAGCGGTGACTATGAAGAAAGCANATATCACACCAAAACCATATCTATCAGTTCGGCTTGAGTGAAATGTATGTAAAAAAAAAAGTAAGTAATGGCACCCCTGTAACAGGCCGTGGAGGCCCATAGGGTTGTGAGATGTTCACGTTCCCACATTTTCTATACAATCAGCTCATAGATGGCGGCAAGGTTGTCAGCCCTACACACTGGCCACCCTTTACCCCAAGAATATTCCAAGAATATTCCTGATACTCAATATTCTGTTAGATGCTGAGTCGACCCCAGGGCCATAATGTGGCTGGAAGGATTAAGTCAACTGAAAAAATCCAATGACCTCATCGGGACTTGAACCCACAACCTTCTGGCTTGTAGCACAGTCCCTCAACTACTCCCAAAAATGACAACAATATAAATATCTGAATAAACACAGTGGCTAACACAGCAGCATAGATTTTAACTGCAGCCAAGGTATCAGACCAGGGTCTGTTGTAAACAATGGCTGAACTTGCAACAGTCACATTGTACTGACATAAATATTGTAAATAAACACCACTCAAACTTGATCAAAATTATAATCAATCTGTATAACTTGAATATACAAGTGGACTGCATGTCAGTAACAGAGTTGAGAATTAATTATAGGCTGACTTTAGCTACTCAAATTTAAAATTAAAGAATTATAATGCCACAAATATAAGACTACTAAGTTGAAGCCTGAATAGCAGCAGTACGCTGGTAGACACAGCAGCCTGGTCTACTGGTGAAAACAATTAGAGTATGTTTGTTCATAAATCATTCTTAAGAAATATTTTAAACATAACAGTAATTATGTAATGTGTCTGTGTGACTGGAGACGCGGTCATTACAATAATTACCAGAATGTAAAACAAGCAGAGTTCCATTTATACAATTTTACATTTTCATGGCAGTGAAAATTCATATTGTGGTCTTGTGGGTTATCACCCCTATTGTCCAGTACATGGGTATCATACTTATACAAAACTTCAGCTAAGAACTATATAACACAGAATTTGTGAGGCTCTAGGCAATACTAAGTGAACTGGTGAAAGGACAATACACATCCAGTCAGTCTGATCCAGTTCTCGTTTCTGACATGTGAACATGTCATTAAAACACAAATTTCTAAAACTGTAATCTTGATCTATGAATATTCCTACCACTCTATGCTAAAAATAAACCAAACTGTGCTTGTTACCGCTACAGTGTCAACAAATAGCACAATGTGAATGTTTCAATCTCAATAAGAACTTCTGGGAGGAAAAAAAATAACCAAAATTATCTGTTGAACTGTGACTCATTAAGGAAGAGTAACAGTGATTAGGTAACAACTATCAAATTATGAAAATGTGTGTACAAAAACACAATAATATAATTATTTTGGATCTGAGTTTTCATAGCAGTCGCTATGATGTAGAACCTTGTGGGATGTGGCACCATGGAGTCCAGCAGAGGTTTACCAGTGTTTCTGAGGAATATCAATGAACTTCTACTATACTACATGGCATCACATCACAGATGGTAGTACACTTCAATACAGTTACTCTTAAGATACATTTATTACATCTGTCTGTATTCCTATTGCTACTAGTAGGCAACTATAAACTTCAGCCACAGCAGTATAAACTTAAATGAACATACATGAATAACAATAACAACAATAATAATAATTCCATTCAATTCAATTCAATTCATGTTTATTTACGTGCAAACTTAACAGCACAGAGGCCAATTACAAGGTTAGCACGAGTACACAGAAACACTCAAATAATAAAAAAACAAATACAACAAATACATGTACAAAATTTGAGAGTCTATATAATGGCAATAAATTAATAATAATTCCAAGAAAAATTGAAGTTAACGTTAACAGGAGAGAAAAATAAAATAAGACCAATACACATACATACACACATGTAATATTAAGAGTATTAACAAATATTATTAACAATTTTAGGTTCAATGTGATTGACAGAAACTGTTCGATTGCAAATGTGTCGAGATCTTTACCCACCACACTGGCAGCATAGGCGCACTCAGCAGAAGGACAGCGTTTATTACAGGGACAAACACCGAACAATGAGAAGTTGCTAAGATTGCTGGGAGGAACAGGAAGGCTAAAATTTTCAAAAGAGAAAAGCAGGATTTAAGACCATGAAAGACCTGAAAAAGAAAAAGTGCATCAACGTGATGTCTCCGTTTATGTAAAGACTGTAGATTTAATTTCTCTAAAGCATCAGTATAAGTATATGGAATATGAGGGAAAAAACAATTAAAACAGATGGACGCAATCTTCTGCTGGATGCAATCAAGCTTACTGGCATCAGTTGAGGTGACAGAGTTCCAAACTACTGAGGCATATTCCAACTTGGACCTGACTGAAGTAAAGTACAGTACATACAGAAACTCCAGGGAGGAAAACCTGTAGGTAATGGAGCGAGAAAGGCCTAAAAGCTTTATGCATTCAGAGAATATGTAATTAACATGTGTGTGAAAATGTAGCTTTGAACCCAGGTCCTTAATACTGCTGGTGCGTGTAATGATAGCATGATAAAGCTGATACTCGTAGTTCAAAAAATTTGTTTTTCTGGTGTATGACACAACATGCATTTTAGCAATATTAAGTCCTATGCAGTTAGCAGTGCACCAGTCACGTACGGAATTAATGTCAGATTGAAGCAAGAGGCAATCATGTGGTGAGTTAATGACATGGAAAATTTTGAGCTCATTGGCAAGAAGTAGAAGTTTACAGTTGTTAACATAGTTGCATAGGTCATTTATAAATACGCTGAAAAGAGAAGGTGACAGAACAAAGCCTTGCAGCACAGCAGACGTTACACGATAAGGAGGGAGTGTGTGCCAGAAACGCGAACCCAAAACTGTCTGTGGGTTAAGTAACTGCGAAACCAGCTAACATACACATCAGAGAACCTGAAGGAGCTTAATTTATGCAAGAGCATATTATGCGGGATGAGGTCAAAAGCATTAGAAAGATCAATAATAATAATAATAATAATAATAATAATAATAATAATGTAAGTGTGCAATAACAGCAAAGCCAATAAATATTGCCAGACATTACAAAACACTGACTTAATGAAACAGTCCTCTGAGAGATCCAGACAGCCACTCACCAGTGAATAGAGCCACACGTTTCTAAAACCTGAAAAGTTCTATTACCATGTTCACAAGAACCTGCCTGTGGAGAATATGATGGAACTATCT